GCCTCTTTGGATCGCCAATGCAAATCTAGCAAGCACCCCCTCCTGCTTTGACAACAGATGTTAGATGCCATTGCAGCCTAGCGTGGGGGATGGCGTGGAGGTGCGTGCGTCCGTCAAATCATATGGAGACTCGACATAATCCATGCCCTGACCAACAGCTCGTCCATGGAACCTACCGTGACAAAACTGTCTTCTGCAGTGCGCCTCAGTTCCACATCGTTCTGACTGGTGATCTCGTAGCTGCGGTGCATTGCCCGACGACTTCGGAGTCCACTGGAAGCCACGGCTCCAGAGCCATCGTCATCCTCATCGCTATCGTTGTCGTCTGCATTCCGAGTGCGTCGGCTCCGTCGACCTCCAAATCTGAGAGACGAGTGCACCCCTCCACCAGGATTAGCAACGTCGATCCCTTTTTCTGCCGCCTCGCGTTCTCGACTGTCGCCTCCGGGGCCGAAGATTTTGACGGTACTGTCAATGCCGCTGCAAGCAATCATAGGCTCATACGGGTGGCCCTGAACCACATTGACAACCTCGCCGTCTCCTTCCAGAATATTGAGGATCTTGCACGTCTTCCTGTCCCAGATGAAGAAATTGCCATCATCGGAGCCGCTGACAACGTACTCATCATTGAGACCACAGAAATTCACGTCCTTGACAGTCCGTGTATTACAATGGCCTTTGTAAACTTTGGTATGTGACGTGTAGGGTACCTGGAGATTCACCGAAGCTCGTTCACGATACCGCGCAAACCCGATACGCCGTCGGAAGAAGAGACGTTCCGGTGCCTCCCCATCGTCGTCTTCTTCCTCGGTCTCTGAAGTGTCTGATTCCCATTCTTCGCCCTCGATATTGTCTTCATTTCCATCTTCGTCCGCATCCTCGACGTGGACAGTAAGTGGAGTGCCCATTTCTACATCTGGCTGGCTGGATCCCTCCGTGGTCTCGTGCGGAGTTTGGGCCGACTCCGTTGAAGACTCCCCCAAGTGGGTTCTCACAATGCCGATAGCTTCAACAATACGTTCCTCTTCGTCCGGGTCGATGTCTTCTTGAGACCGTTCTTCCTCCAAATCTGAGCTGGCCAACCGAAGTCTCAACCCCCCAAACGCTCGGTTCACAAAATCGAACGTAACCCCTTCCGCGGCACGCATGAGTAGGGACCGGCCTACCTTAAGCCCCCAGAACCTGGTTGCTGCGCCCTTGTCCATCACGCGTATTGTCGTGGAGGGATTCGACGGGTCAGACCGAGTCTCAGACATACCATGGCTGGCTACCAGCTCAATATTGTCGAGGGCTCTCGTGAAAGCCTGCACAGCCGACTTCTGATTCCTGAAAACATGACGAGTTTCGTCCCGCTCGAAACGATTTGTGTCTAGGTCCACAACCGGGGTCTCATCTTCTGCCAGATCCAAGAGATAGGCTTCCAATTTCGGCACAAAGGTTTGTACCGTGTCCTCTCGATCGAGGGGAAATCGAGGACTATCGGTACTCACGTTGGGCGGCCGCTTAAAACCTTGCAATACCGCAACTTGCCCACCATCTAGCCACAGAAGAATGGCTTTCAGGAAGTCGTAGCAAAATCTCGACTCTTTGCAGATGTTCTTACCTTCGTGAGCTGCAGGTCTAATCTGGTCGAATTGTGCGAGCCGAACATCCGGGGCTGAGGTGAGGCTTTGCAAACGTCCACCGAGGGTGCGGGCCAAACAGCCAGCCGCTTGCACGAATCGCCAACTCGATTGTCGATTTCTCCTCAAAGTATTTTGTAGAGTGACATCCTCCTCACTCGGGTTTATCGGGTATGACCATGTACGGATGACCTCGTCCATCTGAGGAAGCAGCGAGGCACATCGGCCAAGGGCACTAGTAAATGCGGCCGTATGGGGTGTGAGATCTGAAGTCCCCTCTAGAGACGCAGAAACATCGGCGCTTAATGAGGCAGAGAAGTCAAACAAGGTCTTGCGGAGTTGAATGAGTGATCTTGCCACCCGTTCACTCGATTTCTGAGCTTCCGAGAGCAGGAGCTCATGAGCTGACGAGGTCCCAGCCGTCGTTTCGGACATGGGGGAAGGGATAGGGATAAGCTCAGACTCTCCGTCAGCGAACCTTGCCAACAGAGCAGTGCGGCCCTCTTCTGGACGGTCGTCCGGAACCCTCCGTAGACGCCTACTGGGATTGGCTGCATCGCCCAGACTGCTGGAAGAGGCGTTCGCTTTTCCCCTCTTCCTTTTGCGGCCGGAAAGGCTTCTAAGCAGGAAACCTTCATGGGCCCGGGCATCGGCTTCCCTCACGTCGGGCGACTGGACGATATCAAAACTGTAGATATGATCTGAAGACCAAGAGGCCACGAGATTGTTGGGGTTGGCATCACTGATCTTGCACGCCGTGATATGGCCATGTCCACGCGGTCCCATCTTGCGCTTGTTGTTAGGCCCAAATCGTCTAACACACCTGGTTGCGTCAGCCATGGCCTCGTCTTCTGGGGAGCCCGCGTCAGGCTTTCGAGTGCCAGGTTGGCCCTTCTCAGAGCTCAGATCTCGACCAAGCATGCGCCTGTCGTGCAAAAAGCAATGAAGATGAGCCCCACCAAGCGCAATGTACTGTGGCTGACTGGGCGCGCAGGAGATGGTGTTCAAATCGAGGGCATATTTCTTGTAAGAAATGAGGGGAGGAGGCGAGTCGCCACTGTCGCTCTGAGCTCCCTGGTGAAATCGTGCGAAGCCCCGGAGACCCCGAGGAGCAGGATATGCTGACGAAGGCTGTCTGAGATCCCATTGTCGCACATCGCCATCCTCGGAGCACGTCAAGAACAGGTAAGGACTGGACTCGGTCACTATTCTCTTTGTGCGATCTGAGTGGCTTCGATATACCCGACAGTTGGTATTGCCTTCATTCAGCCACCTCGCGTTCCGAAAGAACCTGTTGAACCTCCGGCTTCTTGTGCCTGCGTCGCTCGACGTGCTCTGGCTCGCAGCTCCAGCATATTCCAGATCGAAGACGCGGACTTCGGAGTCTCCGGCGCATGTAACAACGGTGTGATCGCCCGAGTGGGGCATGAACTTGACTGAGAAGATGTTTGCATGGTGACCGGTGCTCACACTTGTGTTCAGCGTAAAGGGCTGGGTACTCCCAGGTGCATTGTAATCCCAGATATTGAGATAGGTATCATCGGAGCCTGAAGCCAGAAGGTTGCCACTTTTCGACCAACTACCAAAGACAGTATCAGCACAGGTGTCCCTTACGCACGCAACGAGAACGGAGGGGGGGGGGGGGGCAGAATTGGTGAGACCTATACCAGAGGGCATTGACGCAACCGGTGTGAGCTCCAAGCTCATTGACAATATCCAAATCTTCCACCCAAGACTTATCCCCATACAGAGTTTTAATGGACCTGCTTCTTCTTGTCTCGCCCAAAGATCGCTTCAGTAGCCGAAGGTCAAACTTGTCGCCCATGTCGTATCAGCCGGGGGGCAACTGAAGTCTGTAAACTGAGGAGGGGATGAATTGACACATGCAAGATACGAAGCCTTGTGCCGACGAGGATGACCTCGGCTGAGGGCGCAGTTGGATGTGATGTGAGGTTTGTTCGGTGCCGGCTCAAATTGTGCACGCACGGGGAACTATGAACGAGGCTAACGGTGGAGGGAGCATGTGGTTTCTGAGTTGCACCGAGTATTGTGGAAGCGCTCGGCTAAAATGGTGGCAAAGCGAGCGCTGGAAGAGGGCAGCAGTCTGTGAGAGACGATACAGAGTGGTTCTTGGTAAGAAGCAGGTACCCAAGAGGGAGCAAAGCCTTGGATCTAGAGAGGGACTTAGTGATGTGGGCGCAGTCAGAGGGATGTGTTTACGCCATGCTGAGTGATGGCGGAGGCGGAGGTGCGGACCATACAATAACCATGAAGATGGAAAATGAGGGAAGGACCCAAGCATTGCCGTCACCGTCACTGGCACCACGACCCGCCAAACGGAAATGGTTGTTAGCCTTGCTGGTGCCACTAGTGCCTCTGAGGGCCACTAAATGCCACTAGTTCAACCCCGCGCAGGTCACCGAGGCTCAAGACATTAGCAAACTCCTCGTAATGCTCATGGCTTTACTCGTATTTGTACATCCGTCCAGTGTTACGCCTATAGGCCCCTTATGTACAAGTAGTATTCAGCAAGTTGTAACCCTATTGCTCGGGTCTTTTTTGTCATTCGGCGTCCTCCCTCCTCATTCCGCATCTACTAGTACTCGTACAGTAAGTAGATACAAGCTACTTTCAAACTCTTGAGAATCCACCCTCGGTAGAATCCCATCCCACTCATTCGTCAGACCTCAATGTAAGGCATTATTTGATATTTCAACAATTCTGCTCAATGGTTTTTTCTTCTTCTTTCCAACAAGGAAGTTTCATCCAGTGTTCTCCCTCGAGCGATGGGGCTCCCGTGAAACACCGTTTCCCAGCCTTTCGTGCTCATAGTACATGTTTGCCTCCTTGTCTTCTGTAACGCCTCCCGGGTATACCCCATTACCAGCCGAAGCATATCCCACGTAATACTCGCTGGCCATTTATCTGGCCCCGTGATCCACACCCTTTTTTTTCAATATGCGCCTCCTGTTTCGGGAAGTTGCTAGGATGGCTATACGCCAGACAGCTTCATTGTTCTCGTACAACGCCGTGTGCCATGGCTCCGGAAAAGCCTCTTTGCAGCTCCCACTCTGAGCCGCAGCGACTGATGTCCATAGAATAAGGCCTCCCGGTTTTAGAGCCCTCGCCCTGTTGTGTGCGCACCTCGGTTCTCAATCGTTTGCTCTAGAGTAATGGCAGACGCATCTCCTTGCATTTCACAAGCCATATGGGGTGTTTCTTCCGGCTGCGGTGGATCGAGTAGATCATGATAACCATTTGAGCTCGGTATTGGTAGGCCCGCGGGGGGGTGTGGCAAACTTTGTCTTGTTGCTGCCTATAACCACAATGCCCGCTAGCAGTCGCGACTATCTCGACTTTGGACCCGGTTTGCCTCACCTAACTATCATCTGTGCGGCGTTTTTTGCTCGTGAGTGATTTTCGAACGTTCTCCATTGCGGTAATTGCACTTTCGATCTGCTCGGCCTCTCCCGCGAGCTCTTGAAGCATTAGTTCCAATTCGACACACCGGCGCCGAAGCCTGATAATCTCTTCTCTAAGAACCTCAACGGAGCCCGAAGTCAGAATGGGATCGTTTGCCACGGGGGTCGTGGAACCAGAAACCGGCCTCGTCTCGGGAAGCTTTTCCTTACCGGACTCGAGTTCTTCAATTCGTTTCTGCAGCGCTGCCCGTTCTCGCTCCCACCCTTCTCGCTCCAGTCTGAACCGTCGTGCTTCGTCAGCTCCCTTGAGTTGTAGTTGCGATGACATAGCCACGATTTGTCTCCACTGTGCACCATCTGCTGACGATTGCTGATGAACTTCGTCACGTGATTTGACCAGATCCTGGACCTGACTTTCCAATGCATCTACCTGTTGCTGGAGCCGTATTTTGTCCTCGGTCAACGTGTTGATTTCGTGATCGGACACTTGCGACTTCTTGTCCAAAGCGGTGCACCGAATCTGAGACCTTGAAAAAGCGGCCAACAACTGGTCATGTTCACGTTGTAGAGTCTGAAGCGCGAGAGTCTTGGTCGAAATCTGGTGTTGTAGGTCTTGGAGGTGAGAAGTGTGGGCAGCCTGAGTTGTCGTGGGAGAGTATTGTACATATTCCGAACTCCCTGTCCGCGGATATTGAATTGATGGTGGTGACGGCAGCGTGCGGCTGGATGGTTGAGATTGCATGGGCGACTGTGCTGAGCCGAAAACCGAACTGGAAGACGAGGCATGAGGCGACTGCCCCGAGCCCGAGGCCGTCTGCTCGTATGGTGGATTTCTTTTCAACTCTTCCCCTTGAAGGATTGGGGGAAGTCCTTGTTCGAATGGACGTGGCATTTGGACAGCTGGGTGCTCAAGTGTGCGACGTTGGTGATCATCACTTCGAGGAGTGTCTGGCGGAAGGGGTGCTTTGCGGGGGTCATTTATAGATGTGGGAGCCGCCGAAGATTGCCCATGGATAGATAAACGACGTATGTCGTTTACAAATGGGGGCGGAACAACATCAGCCAGGGGGGGTAACCCCGGTTTCGACGTAACTACGTGTGACTGTATGAGGCGACTCGTATTTCGAAGTTCATTGAGGGTCCATGTAAGAGACTGTTTGAGGCCTAGCTTAGTCACTTCGACTCCGATAGACTTTTTTGGTCCCGTCAGCACTTCCCGTTCCAATGGGGCGGACCGGGGCTTACCTCGAAAGGGCTTTTTTGCCCTGTTGAAATGGCCAGAGCTCGAGTGACCTCTGATTGAAGCTCCAAGAACCCATGTACGAGGTCCAGCACCAGCGACTCGGTATCTGAACAGTTGCCGCATGATCCGCGCCACGCTTGATGATGGGGTATATCTTCTGGAGGGGGCGCGGGAGGGCGATGCTCTCCCGGGTAAACATACGAGCTGGTCTGGGGGGCGAAAGGCGGTCGTCAGTCACTCTCACCAATAGACGTGCCCATCCCAACCCTTCCGAGGATATGGTTATGGCGTCTATGCGACCACCAGTCACATACCTGAGGGTATATCCTGCTCTTGGACGATTGCACGTCTGTTTCTAACCTCTCCGGTATATAATCCAGTCGCGGACGCTTGTCCGGAGGCTCTTCCAACTCCACCCGTGGACTGGTGCTCCCGGGAGACCAGAAGTATCTAGCAGGAGATGATCGGTCTGTGGTACGTCGCTGGTGAGATTGGTCCATAGGCAGGTCGCGTTTTCGGGGTGTCTGATGCAACGACGGCGAGAAAGGACCATCTACCCCTCGGCGAGAGGGTTCAGGCGCACTGGTGACACGGGAGAGGAGGCTGGAAGCCATAGAGGTATTGGGCTTCACATCTTCTGGCTCATCTGGAGAATAGAAATCACCGTCCATCCCTTCCACCGATCTCGCACCAGCTTCTGGTCCTTTGTCAAACGGGAGTGGCGTGTGCAAGGCAACATTTGAGGGGACAGTGGCTGAGGAAGAGGACGCGTGTGGCAAACCAGCGCGAGGACAAGGAGGGTCGGTCTAGGACGAGGACTTTTTTTTCTTCTCGGTTTAGGCGCCGTGTAATCGTACGTACCTTCCCGCCTAAGTTATCGTAAAGGACGGGCGCGGGAGGCAAATCCTTGATATTGCATACTCGCGGACTGCGACGAGAGCCAGGACGGGTACCATAGCATGCCTAAGCAGGCATGGGGGAGACTGTATAGTATGTTATGTCCTTGACTGGATCGCCCTGCAGCTAGGAAGGAAATGGGATCGAGCAAAGACCAGGGCGAGGTAACAGAGATGGTGGTCGTCGATTGGACCGTGGAAAGGCGGGCGCCAGGGGATAAAGAGGATCTGGTCGAGAGAAGGCAGAGATCGAGAAGGATTGGAGAAGAGGAGCAAGAACTATGATAATTGGAGTCAGCCCGCAGGAAGTACGAGGTAAATTTTGGGAATGGAAAAAGATCCAGAGATCACCGCGCTCCGTACTTTGTTTCGAAGAAGTTTAGTACGTAGTGGTGCGCATGGATCACTTTACCAGCAGGGCGCCAACGGTCAAAGTTTAGCCTCCCGCCAGTCAAGGATACTGCAACGGGCAGCCTGGTGGTGCGTCTCGGCCGCGAGGGCCATCTTTTTGGGAAATGGGAGCTCCGATTCGCCTACGTAGAGGGCCTTGAGGGTTTCCAGGTGGGTGAAATGTTTGCTTCGCTCCGCGTGTGGTCCATTGTAACAGAGATGTTCTGTAAAAGGTGCGCTTGCTCCTTTGGGCTCGCCACGGCTGGCGTGTTTTCGGGATGCGAACGAGGCCAGCTATTGTGTCATTGGCAGGGCGGAATGGATCTGGAAGAGCCTATCGGAGGTGACCTCGACAACTGACATCAAAAAACTAACCCGAGGGGGGAAGTGGTGTAAGGATTGCTGGAGTCAAGGAAACGGCACCCATGGGGGACCTAACATTCCACGAGAGATAACGTGATCGAAGACAGAGAAAAGGAAAAAGGGGGGGAGGAGGGGGAGGAAGCGAGCGTCATGCACAACAAGGAGGTCGAGGGAAAAAAAAAGATCCTATACCCAAAGGCAGATGCAATGCCTTGTTGGGAAGTTCCCCAGCCTATCTAGGGAAAGCTTCGAGGCAAGGGAAGCTGGCTGACTCGTCGCCGCCTTGGGTGAATGGCGCTCACTGGGTAAGAGCAGCGAGAACCAGTCATCGGCCACCACTAACAGCACTTCACAGCCATACCACCTCCCACCAGGTGATTACCCCTACAAGTCTCCAGCTGGTGCCAACTGCAGACAACAGCCAACAGCCAACGGCAGCCACCCTTCCGAAATTCTTACCTGATCAATTGCCACTGCTGCACTCCATAACTGTGTGTTGTAACCTCTCCAGCTCCAGTTTTCCGATGACTACAGTTGACCACAGTATTAGATAAGCCACTCACTAAACCCGATCCCTACCCATCTCCTCCGGAGCCAAGCGCGGCCGCAAAAGAGACCCATCGACAGAACGAAAGATGAACCGACTACCAAATGGATTAGTGACCACAAGCTCGGCCGTGTGGACTAGGGCCTCCAATGCCTAGCCAGCAAAATGGGACAAGAGAGGGGACTCCGTTGGACAAGGCAAGTACAAATGTGGTACATGGGCACTAGGTACCTACATCACATCGAAAAGAGGGCTCTTCTCACGCTCCTTGAAAGGTATCGGCACCCGAGGACAGGCCACGATCAGGCATACCACGTGGGTGCTAGTAACATTGACCCAAGGTAGGGATATGTATATCACCCAACTCTTTTGATCCTTGAGATACTGGGTCGCTAGGCACGATCGAGACAGGCAAGTCGTGAAGGAATGTCATGGGCCAATTCACACCGAATACTTGCCGAATCCTGCAGGGTCCACGACCAAGACAAATCCAACGTTATCATGCTCTGGAGTCTCTGCCTTTACAAGTAGTAGTGCCAGTTCTCGCACGAAACGAATCCCTTCGCAGCCTAGCACTTATCCGGTTAGAGATCTGCAGAGCAAAGTATACCGCTCTTGCCTCTCCCTCCTGACCACCACGCCTCTTGGTCTCGCCGCAGGCCCGCAAGAACGCATAGCGAGGTTCACACAAGACTGCTCCTACTAGAATTAGAAAGAGAGAGGTACTGGATTACTACGGACCCCTGGCAGGGATAGCATGACGAATCAGAAGTCTCAAGCACAGCCGAAAGGTTTTGAGAGGAGCCGAGACGGAAGCGGTTTCTTGCAATGAGACCAGTAAGAGAGAGACATCTCTGCTCTGAGTAATGGGCGATAGCGAAAAAAAAAAACAACAATAATTACTCTTCATTCAAGTCAAGTGGTCAATGCACCTGGACTCGGGCCGAAGAGAAGAGGGGGGCGTATTATTCATCCAGCCCCTCGACAGTCATGGGCAAAAACGTCGGCAGTTCTCCACTGACATGCAGCGGCACCAGGGAGCGGTTGACGTTTGGCTCTAGGAACGAGCAGGAGAATGGAGGGGAGAAGCTTGGTAGATCGGCCCTCAACTTTCATCCCTACGACTGTGGGGGCAACTAACTAGGTAAGATGGGCCAAAGCTTCTGCACCAACTTACACTAGCTACACTATAACTAATTCAATCCTAGTGAATTGACTCGGAACACATCTTGGACCTTTCCCTGGGAGTGCCCTCGTCATTCTGCATCTCAAGGGGGCCTTCTTCGGTCGCCCATGATTCGACCGACTCGGTCCTCCCTTCACACAACGAGTCCCACTATCCCGACACCCTCCGGTCGCCAAGAACTCGGATATGCAGTGGGAAGGTCTTCTCGAAGCTCACTGCCACTCTCTGTGACCTCGCTTCGGGTTAATCCACCGTCCCTTTTCTGTGAAATACTACTCCATCGTTCTCTTCGCTTGAACCATCGAAATGGCTCTTTGGTCGCGCTCCAAACAACACAGATTCCCCTCTACATCTTCGATTCAAGCCGAAAACCTTGTCAGCAGATCTTCCCTTTGTGGGAATGCGCACCCTTGAGGAGTTTGCGCCAGGAGGACGAAATCTAGGAACGGGTTTCTTTCCAAGCTTCTCTTGTGTCTTGTTCTTTGGATGTGACGACACCAAAGCTTCGGGCACACTCGTTCAGATCCAGCGTGCTCTTGCGCGCTGAGTTGTTGTAGTGCTATCGCCGCGGCTCTAAGAAACCTTGCCTCGTATGTTCCAAATACCCATCCTGGCAGTGTCAGGGATTGATTCTACAGAAGGATGTAACTCCACGTCCGACAGAGCTTGTTGGACTTCGCTCGCAAGCCGCTCTTGTTGCTCCCGAAGCATGAGGCCTTCTATTGCCCTGCAGATACAAATCTCTTGTAGTATCTGCTCAGCGAGTGTGTGGTGCATCTCGATCAACGTTTCAAGTGACGACGCCCCCGGTGACCCATGTACTCTTAGACCCGCCAATAAAGCCGCACACGCTCTAACTCGGTCGTCCACAGCGGACACCAAGGCTGACCATTGTGGGTCTATCGGGTGGGGACAATATGCTTTCTCCTCGCTCTTACCCTCACGAAACAGATTGTCTGTAACGTTGGTTGGACGCCTGGAAGACGCGTCAAGGTACCAGTTTTCAAAGGTCATCATGACAGCCTCCAGTAGTCCATCCTGGCCGCTGACCTCGTGCAGCTCTTCTAGGCAACCTGCAAGCAAGAGTAATGTGTCTGACCCTGCATGCTCTACATCTTGACGGCTCCGTTCCTGGTCGAGCCACCTCCTGACGGCGAAGGCGTTTATTTTCGCCTGTCGATCATGACACAGGGACCTGAGGGTGCGTAGCTGATGTTTCACCCCCTTAGATTCTGTCTGGAGCTGCGATTTGATAGATGCCTCGTAA